ATCTAAAGCGGAAGATGACAAATGTTCGCGACGCCGACGAATTACAGTGGATCTGGGAACAATGGAGAGAAGCCACGGGGAAAAAGATGAGAGGGAAATACAGCGACTTCATCGACCTCAGCAATGAAGCTGCCAAAGCCAACAGTAAGCCCTGCTCTTTAATTTGTTCAATCTATTCCGATTCGTTGTGGCAATCAAAGCTACCTGGGGGGGGAGGGGATTCTTTGATGAGGAGGTCCCTTGCTCGCTCGCTTGATGAAGAGCCATTTGTCCTCCTCCCGCGTATCAGACCCTCTTCCTAGGCTGCTTTATTGATATTTATTATTAATTTGTGCATTGGATTCATAGGTGAAGCAGAGAGGACATTTCACAACCATCAAATTTTCTCAACTAGACAGTATTTCGACATGGTTCAATAATAAAAAAAGCCTTATCTATATCCAAACCCAAGCGTTGGTGTGGGGATGGTCGATAGGCAATGTACCCTTTAAACCCTTGCGCCATTAGACCCAAGGAAGGATGGATTGTCTGATGTAATACTTGATTGATAGATTTCTCGGACATGGGTGCTATGTGGCGTTATGTTTACGAGACGGATACGTTCGAAGAGGAAGTGGCGGAACTGTGGGAGACTGTCCGACCGTTGTACGAACAGCTTCACGCCTACGTCCGACGAAAACTTCGTGAAAAGTACGGAGTGGACAAGGTCTCGGCCGATGGACCCATCCCCGCGCATCTGCTCGGTAAGAGGCTGAATTTCCGATTTAAAACCTAACGTCTTAAACTGAAAAGAGGATATTTTCATTCCTGGTCACGGCAAAACGATTCGTAGGAATTTGGCTCTGTAGCAAGTGTACATCAAGAGTTTATGTAAGGAGAAGAATAAGAGTAATAATTCGAAGAGGGTATGGAAATGCTGTGGGCGATAGTCACTCTGTATACCTAGGAGATTAATATCGATCTTTAGATCGATTCTCATCACGACCCAGGTGGAGATCATTGCCCTTAAAAAATAGTATTCTCTGGACCCCTCTTCGATGGCGAATCTTTACATCGCCGCGCGTGAGACGACAGAACCGGGTGAGTTTGTAATAAGCTTGTAATAAACTAGGTTCGTAACAAGTTTATCTAATGGGGCGGTGGTTTCTGGTTCGAAACCATACAGATGAGGCATTCTTTTTGAGTTGAAGAAATGATGTTTTTTCCAAGGAAGACCTTTTAGAGCACACGGGTTTTGTTAGCATGTAAGGGCTTCCTTCGCGGAACTCAAGCAGCATATCTCTTGAACCCCTGTGTGCTCAGCACAGATGTTTGAGGAGGCTTGGGCATACTTAGGGTAGACTGAGGATGGTAGCGGTTAGGGTCATTTTGCTGGAAGGTTCTATCGGGTTTCGGTGTTCATGACACAATCATGGCTTTTCATTTATCGTGTGCAGGGAGGCATATGTCTCACACCCACTGATCTTATTTACCTTGTTTTTTTTCTTCGACTGAAGAAGTATTTTTCCTCTTTGTTTGAAGAGGAAAGAAACAGTAGTATTTGTTTGTAATTCTACAAATTCAATGAGTTCTAACAGCAGAAACTAAGCAGAACAAAATGGAGTAGAAATTACATTAAAGAATCATAAATGAAAAATATTAAGCAATCTGACAGATATTTCCCTTAACAGTCCTGCAATATCACAATATAGTCCATCATTTCTTGGTTTCCGAACGAGAGATTCTACTTTCATTAAGAAACTTTCTCAGGCGTCCTTGAGGTACGTTATTTGACTTTTTGTTTCATCCACGACTGAGTTACAAAAGCAGTGTGTTGCAAGGTCGCTGAATATTTTCGTCAATCTCTACATGTGTTGACTAGGTGATATGTGGGCCCAAGACTGGAGCAACGTGAAGGACCTGTTCCTGCCCTGCAAGAACAAACCATCTCTTGATATCGCACCCGCACTCCGAAAACAGGTCATAATGACGTATTTCCTTAATGCATCTAAACACATAATGAAAAATAAAATATAAAGCAGAACCATGATGTGCATACTTACATCCAACATTCTCATTCTTAGAAAATCAGGATTTTTGCGTACCTCCTTGGAAGTTTTAATATTTGAAAAAAAAATTCCAATGTGATTTATATTTGATTACTTAGAACTACACGGCAGAGAGGATGTTCCGAGTATCCGAGGAATTCTTCACGTCAATGGGATTAAGTCCGATGCCGGAGAAATTTTGGAATCTCTCCATCATCGAGAAACCAAAAGACCGGGCTATTATCTGCCATGCCTCTGCTTGGGACTTTTGTGATTCCAAGGACTTCAGGTTATTTCTTTCTTCTTTCTTCACCATTTCCATAATAAAAGCAAGAAAGAGGGAAATGGAAATAAGATCGTGTGTCAGTGCGTTTGCTGGCTTGTTGCCTCGGCGGGCGATCCAAGGAGGACACATCTATAGAGGAACCTTCAAGCAGTTCCTTCATTGGATTGAGGCGTGTTCCTCTGAACACTTACTCTTTCGACATCGCTCGGAAGAAAAATTGTTGCTCGCGTAATTTGCAACCAATTTTAATCAAATTTTCGTTACATTGCATGCAATCATTGCATGTAAAAGCCTGTAAATTTCCTGTCGATAACTCATATGGTACACCGTCTGCAAGCGTGTAAAATTCGTAACATTTATTTTGAGCCACCCAGTATATCCGGCTCGAAATTAGTTAAAGGTTGGTGACCCCTGACTTAAGACATAGCACAAAGTGAATGTGCTTGATGAGAGTGTTGTCCCAACTCTGTCTTCATATTAGACTAATGATGGCAAGGGGTGGAAGGTGTGCAAACCTATTTCTGAAAGAAAGGAAAATCTGAGGTGACGATGAAATCTTACGTATTTGAACGTATTTGAAATAATTGATATAACAGAATCAAACAGTGCACGGACATGACAATGGAGGACTTCGTGACGGTCCATCACGAGATGGGACATGTCGAGTACTACATTCAGTACAAGGACCAACACATCGCCTTCCGGGACGGAGCCAATCCAGGTCAGTTACTGAAAAAAAAGTTTATTAATGAGTGAGACAAAATTTGATTGATAGCGCATGTAATATGTGTAACTGCTTAAATATACTTATGCAGGGTGGGATAAAATTCCTGAGGGGTTTCATGGTCATATATCTCGGAAGCGGGCGGGGTAGAAATAGGTAATAGGCATCATTTGAAAGGTTATCTCTAAAAAATTGTTATGGCTCACCATAATATACATCTCCCACTTCCACATGTCTGCCACCTTTGTCAACGCATGTATGCAACCTTCATATGAACTTATCCAGGACTACCTCAAATTGGGCAGGTGTGATATTCCGGACTGCTATCCCAATGCGTGTGCAAATTCAGCCACGCCTCGTGGGCTCGTGGCATGCACAGTGTTCTTAACATGTCCCCACGAAGGAAAAATTCCATAGGGGTCAGGCTTGGAAACGTGCTCGCTCTTTGGATGAAACGTTTCCAAACCGATGGATCGGACAGGGTGGTTTGATCCCATGGCCTCCCAGGTCATGGGGCATGATGGAATCGCCCAGCTATTTGAGCTGTTTTTGTTAAAAGTAGGTATGAACTTGAGATCAAAACATGTTTTTATTCATTACTGCTCAAGAACTCGGCTATTTAGGCTGGGTCCACTTGCAAGTTGACACATTCACTAGACTGAAAAGTAGCACTAGATGTGATTGGGACTGGATTACATGGAGACTCATGAGCCAGTATCGATGATTGACCTTAACGTTCTTTTGTCAAGATTGTACAGTACATTGGTGTACGTGTACATTTGTAACTTTTCCATTATGTACGCCTCAAAAAAGCAAAGAATTTGTACTTCTATCTGAGTGTCTCTTTTGTGGTCAACTTTGGCTCTTTCAACATGAATCTTCTTCCGCCTGGAAATGGCTTGAGGTTCGAACAATTGTCTGACTGACCATGTGGCAGAAATGATCAAAGAATATGAATGACCCCCATAAAACTCTGACCGTAACCAAACGGATGATTGTATGCAATGTCTGCTGGAAGCAAGTGCCCATAAACGAAATCCAGCGACCTGAACCAGTAAAGGTTCGTGCCGAAAGAGGAGTGAAACCATGTCCGTCCAGTACGATCGACTCAAAGATTTAGGTTTCCATCAAGAAGAACTGAGACATATCGAACTTATTTTGTGAATAGTTACTGTGAGCCCTTGTAACTTGTTGAGTTTTGAATTGCTTCCAAGAGAATTTATAAATACAGGAAAACATGAAATACAAGTCTTCGATTTGGTGTGAATATTCATGACCCACCCTGTAGGTTTCCACGAAGCAGTAGGAGATGTGATTTCGCTATCGGTGGTGACCCCGAAGCATATGGTCAAGATCGGACTCTTGCCGGAGTCAGCAGGGAAGAAGGACTCGGAGGTAGACCTGAACTATCTCATGTCACAGGCCTTGTCCAAGGTGGCCTTTCTCCCGTTCGGATACCTCATCGATGTCTGGAGGTGGAATGTTTTCCGGGGCAAGATCTCCTCCAGCCACTACAACTGCGAGTGGTGGAAACTCAGGTTCTCTATATTTGCGTCACTTCTCATTAGTTGTTGATTGAAATCCTCCAAAAGGACTTGCATGAAATACGTTTTCAAACAGATAGATGATAATTTCACCAAGGGACTCATTTATGGAACACCCTGGCAATAACAGGGTCACATGTGTAGTCACATAGTAATAAGAGGTGACATATACACTCTGTCCCAGAAAAATTTTTGAACATTTTTCAATTTGTAGCTTCTCCTAATTGGTTCAGGCGCTCGCTGTGCGCTTTTGATGGCTGTCTAAATTTGTATCAAAATCCATTGATCCATTTCTGAGATGCAGCAGCTCGTTCTAAGTTAGGTTTCGTTGGACCATTACCGCCGGCCGCACTCGGCACGAGCACAGCCAGCCTGAGAGGAAACTCACCGTTCCCCCGTTCGCTGGAGAATGCGGACCGTGCAGCGTTTGGGTTTCGATCAATGTCACATGCTTGTTCACAGAAAGACACTGGATTAGTAGGAAAGCCGTGCTTGTTGACTTTAAATGAAACTGAAGCAGTTGCCTCGGAAAATCGATGTGCTTTTTGCAGTTTTCCAGTAGTTCACAGTGTGTATACGCACGTTAAGTACACCACTCGTGGACTCCTGGTGCGCTACCAAGGAAAAATAAGTGGACCCAGTACGGATGTAAGGTTGCGAAATATGTTACGGATTGTAACTGTGGGAATGCATGCATTTGACTGTGGGGATGCATTTGACGCAAAGGCAAAACACAAGGGGTACAATGTAAGATTATAAGGAATCACATGCCTTGAGGTAGCCAAGGACAGGGTGACATTTTAACGTGCGCATGCCCTTCGCATAGTAGTGGATGGGAAATAGCTTTTGAAGTCATCGTAGCATGAACGTGAATATTGTTGTCATTCTGAAATGTTCTCCAGGTCAGAGGTGCAAGGAGTTCAGCCTCCGAACATTCGAAGCGAAGAGGACTTCGATCCTGGCGCCAAATATCACATCCCTGCGAATGTTCCTTACATGAGGTAACCTAAGTTAACAAAAAAAATTGTGGATAAGTTCGTATACTGGGTAAAAATGCCGTAGAAGTTTGGAAAAGTACTGAGAATGTTGTAGGTGGCATGGATGGTCTTTCTTAGGCCGAGTTCGTTCATACTCATGCTGGACAGCATGCACAGCAGCGGCAAAATCCAATCCAAGATGGGCATGTTGCATTGGACTGTTTGCAGTTTCAGCATCCAACATGCTGTACAGCACGAGTATGAACTCGGTCTTATTCTTTTCCCTCCCTCTCTTGGCTCTCTAATAACCATGAAATGTCATTTTCTGATAAAGTAAAGTTATTGGCTCCTAATTGGAATTCACAGTAGGAGAAAGGAAATGATTTGGGAGCCTTAGCCACTAACAGCCACAGGAGAAATTAAAGAATGAGGGCAGATCTGCTATTATTTTGCAAATCGGTGAAGTGACGCGAATAGGTCGAATCACTTCCTGGAAACCATCCCCCCATAATCCCCACCATAAATATTCTTTCTTATAGTCCTTTAGTGATCATCCACTTATAGTGATTGTTTTGGATTTTGCCCAGTGACCACCATAGACCGGGTCGATTTGGTAATTGAATTTGTAAACGGCAAACTTGTCATCACATTTACCACCATAATTGCTCAGATTCCTATATGGAAATTTCGCATGAAAAGTATGACCAAACGGTAACATAGGATGCGTGAAATACAATCTGATTAGCTTCATTCATGTGTTGTTGGACTGTTTCAGCTACTTCGTGAGTTTCATCATCCAGTTCCAATTCCACCGAGCCCTGTGCACAGCAGCAGGGGAATATGATCCGAAAAATCCTCTGGCGAAACCCCTTCACGATTGCGACATCTACAGGAGCAAGAAAGCTGGGAATCTCTTCAAGTTAGTCCTCCCATTTCCATCTATATAACAATCATAGAACATCTTTCAGGATTTGACGATCTAGTTTCTTGTACCGGGGACAGTTCATACAAGCTGCTTGGTGCTGTTCTTTGAAGCCAAGGTAATTTAATGCCATAAATTACAAGGTCAACCTAACACGTGAAATCCCTCTTGGATCACGGTGTTGGAAACAATTTACAATTTCAATGATTTAGGCATAGCCTGACATTTCCCACATCACCCTTGGTTATCAATACATTTCTATGGATCCCGTCTACATATTTTATATTTGAGGAGTAACAATCTTCCTCATACACCAGACTGACTCACTGAACCCTTTCACTGAGGCATACGCTCAAACATGGAAATTGGACGGCAAAGATTGTAAGCACCAGCGAAAGGGTTAATTTTCTTTTTGACTTCTTTGGAATTCAATCCACCGCCTAACGCCAAAGAAAGGACTTGAATACTTCTACTTCACTTCTGAGAAATTTATCAAATCCTCTTTTTTCGTAGATGAAGCCAATCATTTTGACTTACCTATATCTGCTGTCTTATAAAAAATGAAATTTTTATCATTCTAATATAGTTTTTCCAATTTTCCAAGTAATTACATTTTAAATCAAGTAATTTCCTTTGCTAAAACTAAATTTAGAATATCAGTTTTCCTGGTTGAACTTTCTAGTTTGATACCGTTATTGGATTACTTTTCCCTCAACCAATATAAGCTTCCCGTAGTCAGTTGTTCCTAGCATCGGGATGCACTTGAAATACTAATATAACCAGGGAAGTGATCCATTTGAATGCGAAGGGTGACAACCACGCACAAAAATCCTGAAGCACGCGCTTGAGATACATTTCAATCATTATCGTTGCTTACGAGTGAAACTTTCTTCCCTTTGCCATTGCACCACAATTAAATTTTCAACGAAGTAATATCTTTTTCTGCTTTGACTTCGAAGAAATGTTCTTCAAGAAATCACCAAAAAGAAACTGAAAGATAGAAGCAGAATGCGCTTTTCCAAAAAGGAATAATAGGGATTCTTTCCAGGGAAATCTCTTCCTTTGTCATCTATTAGAATGAGTCTTTATAAGCATATTTTGCGCTTTGCTGAAATTGCTGAATATGAATGGGAGTGTAAGATGTATGTAAAATGATGGGAATGTAATGATATCCTTCGCATCGGCACCTGTGCAGGGAGATGTTGAGGCTGGGGAGTTCCAAGCCGTGGCCTGATGTCATGGCGGTCATCACGGAAGGTAATCGCCGCATGGATGCCTCCGCCCTCAGGGAGTACTTCCAGCCTCTGGAGAACTGGCTGCGGAAGGACAACAAGAAGCATGGTGCTGCCGTAGGATGGAAACTTGGTAAGAATCGGTCATATTCTGTTTCTTGCATGTCCCTTCTTTTCCTTTTTTGTCTCCACTTCACTGACGTCCTGGACTGGTCAGTATAGCTTTGCTAACGAAAGTACTTGTGGAGGTGAACAGGCAGACACGAAATCAGGAGCTTAAAATCGATATGTAATGCTGAAGGTATAAATTATAATATTGAATTAATTTTAAAGTGGGTGTAAATGAGTCTTGTCCGATGACGAATGCCGTGACTGTAATCCACTGCAGTGTCTTGCGGTGGCATTGCTCCGCAGAATTTTCACCCAAGGATTCATTCCATTGGAAGTTGGACATGAAACGATGATGATTACTGGTATTTCGACTCCTCTTAATCTTCATATTGTGGATGGAGAGCCTAGTAGGAACTCATCCACTGTTCAAATTGGAAGCGATGCGACACATTTTGGCGTGTGTTCCTCTGTGAACATAAGTGCAACAAATCCCATTACATCATGGAAGTGCAGTGCCAAGGTGAAGGCAACTTGGAAGACACGACTCGTGTCAACTCCTTCAAAAGTTATTTTGTTTTCATCTTTGTAACCTCATAATTTAACTAGATTTTCATGTCCTCCACATTTCTTCCATCCTATGATAGTAATGCATAGTGATATTGCTATCATATTTGGTGATACTAGTGAAAATTAAGAACTTGTCTTGCGATCGATCGCAATCGGATTACGTCATTTAGTGACGTAATCTACTTGAGTTACGTCGTTTTACATCACTAAGCATTCACTTTTGAATTCATGGGTTCCCAGTAAGTTATGCGTCCCTATACGCATGAGTATTCACATATTATAATTGCGTTATTTTTCTTCAAATTCCAGATGGAAGGTATTGCTCGGCATAAAAACCTGATGAGGGAGCCTCGGGACGAAGTAGAGAAAGAGACGGCGAGAGCCCCCTCCTCGTCCTCGCATTCTCAATGATGTGTCCTATCATTCATACACATTGAATAAAATTTTATTATTGGAAAGATGATTTTTCTGCTTATCCTATCAAGGTTAAGCGATTTCTACCTCTGGAGCGAGTTAGATGCATTTGCTTCAGCAGTTATGACATCCGTTGTGATGAAAGCTTCGCTGGAAAGGGAGAAGAGTGCGTGATTCACTGTTGTCAGGCGTGTCAGTTACCTGAAACGGGCGACTGTCGATTGTTTATTGTGTGTCTCTGTATTTCGCTGCCATAAGCGTTTCTATCTTGGTTGCGAAATGATCGCCTTTAGCGATTTCCTGCTCGGCGAAATTACTGGCGATTTTGCCTCTCTTGTTACACGTTTGTTTTTTTTTGGATTTCGGAGTCATATTTACAGGCAGCTGAATCATAATTAATCATAATTCCATAATTAAGTATCTGGGCGTAATTGACTACACACAGCTCCACCTCCACGAGACAAAATAACCTAAAGTCTCAAGAGACTGAGACGCGAGGACCATCTCGTCCCCACATAATTGGGGAATTGCACTGGTACCGGTACCATGGATATCCCCTCACATCCAGCCACCCCCACATTCCCCTGGCATTCGGTTTGATAATCGTTTCGGGAAAGAACAGAATGAATTCTGATTCCGCATGGAAATGGAGCCGTGGCAAGGGAGCATGCAGGAAATGCTGCATGTTAACACTGCTGGACAATATGCCTTGTTTTTCGAGGGGAAGGGGATTGTGAGGAAAAAGTGCAAGTTCATCAGGAAAGAGTAAGCTAAGACAGGAAGTAGCAAAGTTTGTTCATTTCTCTCATCTCGAAAAATATGGGCGAATATCCAATAGCTCTCCATGAAGATAGGAATAATTTTTGTCTGGGAAAATTTAAGTCAACGTCTCGTCCCAAGGTCTTCATGGGACATCCTAAGGACATCTTCAATCGGACGATTTCCGACATCTCGAACGTCTTCGAGACATCTTCAGGCGAATTGTATTTTACCCAGCCCTGAACCATCAGAGCTCTTCCTTTGCTCCGCATGTTGTCACGGGAAATTCAGTTTGAAAGACATTCATCGCCATCGAATCGAGTGAAACCGTTGGTCCGCGACATCCTCATTTACCGCTCAGGCACGATTCCACTGCCACTGTGCCGATGCCACAAGGAAATGAATCGGACGTCCTCGCTGCTAGCTGGCAATCGTCTTTCGAACGTGAAATTTTCACCTCGTGTTCTGGACGTAGCTTACCCATCTGATGATGAAGATTTCAATCCAAACGCGAAGGAGATGCTCGTTTATACCGCACGAATCTGTTCGAGTTTTTTCCGTGGAGGTTCTTCATATTTGCTGCTGAATTGGCAAGATGGGGTCTATTTCATTCGGGAGTCCCGCTCGTATTTTTGTCGTCTGATCCTGCACAACTGGGAATACGGAGACATTCCCGACGAGGAACACCGAAGATCTCCTCTCAACTGTCCGTCAATTAAAGGGCGCAATGTCACGGATATCCGAGAATTCCATCGATCCTACTCATCACGGAAGAAGAAAAGGAGATAAAAGATTCCCATGACAGACGATCGCCTTCGAGTTCCTTCAAATCGGGTAAATTCCGTCTCTCTTTCTGTGAATATCGTTTAAACTCCATACTGATCGGTCCACAGACACTTCTTCAGCGCCGATTATTGACAAAGGCGAGGAGTGAGTGTACGGACTCCATGAGACCGAGTTCACATTCAAATGGCGTTCTTAAATGTCACATTCTGATTCGTGTTCAACTTTGCAAATAAAGCTCATCAGTCGTGTCATTTCATTTCACGGAAAGCGCATGCGAAATGGAATGATTCCATCGCCGAAAATCGGTCATCCAGTTTGCGTCTTTTACGAACATCACCGGGAAGAGAAATTGACGGCCTAAATGATTAATATATAAAGAAATCGGGAAGATCGTTTACAAAGTAGATTTAGGAAGAGGAAACGTCTTATTGGGATGTACCACTCTAGTCTCATTCACTACGTAGGTGAGGATAATGATTTTTTTGACGGGGTAAGTGCCTGCCTTTTGTGAAATAGGAGACCCGCACCCCTTTCCCTCCACCCAAGGACGAGTCAATGAATGCTCCAAGAGACGAAATACATTGGACTTGGGATGTTTTGCGCGTGGGCACCCCGAATGGCGACTGGTGACCGCATGGAATGTGAATTGCATTACTCGAGAGGCATTCCATGCGGTCATCTTTTTTCTGGGGAATGAGAAGGTAATTGGGGAAAGCGTGTCTTGTCTCACCTCTACCTCGTGAAGTTAAAGAAAACCGTTTGTTTGCAGAAGCCGTTTCGTCTGCCTCTCGAAGTCTCTCGCCCGGAGTCGTGATCGGTGAGTGAAGCAATTTATGATCCTCGTATTGTGCACGAGATGCTCGACCGCGTATGGATTATTTTAGGCATAGCTGCGTGTTTGTCCGTGTTGTTGCTCTGGGGGTTCGTCGGTGGGGTCTACTGCCTCTTTCGCGGCTTTAGACCCTCCCGCCGCGAACGCGGCGATTCCACCCTGTCCTCGTCTCCGCCACCCGACCCGGGCGCCACGTGAGCAACACATTTGCAACCGCTCTTCCTCGATTGTCCCGAACGAAGCAATTCACGCAATTTTTATGTTCCAGTCTGGTAAGAGAGGAACTGCTTCTTCCTCGAAAGGAAATGGGCCAGACGGGAGAGGGTGTTCGGCTTAACTCCGTGTGATCGTCAGTGGAATATTATTGCTTGCACACATTCTAGAATGATATTACGACATAACATCGTATTTTGTTCCTCTTACCCATGATCGCTAGGAGTACCCGGCCTGCAACCTCTGTGTATATGTCATGCAAATAAACCAGACATTTCTCAGCAAAAGCATATAAATTTTTTTTTTTTATCATGATCGCAACTTCTTCCAAAAGAAAACGCATTCTCTTTCCGACTTTTCTCTCGCGTGACGGCGAGAAGCGTCGGTGGATGCCCCGGTGAACCATGCAAAATGAGGATTATATTTAAATATCGTAGTTTAATGTTTACACTAATGAAGCCGAGGTGCCTACGTTTTTTATATTTGAGGAGTAACAATCTACCTCATACACCAGACTGACTCACTGAACCCTTTCACTGAGGCATATGTTCAAACATGGGAAATTGGACGTCAAGCGTCGTAAGCACCAGCGAAAGAGTTAATTTTCTCTTTGACTTCTTTGGAATCCACGGCTTTACGCCAAGAAACAGACTTACTTCTACTCCTCTTCTGAGAAGTTTGTCTAATCCTCCTAATTCCTAGTTTTTAACCAATCAATTTAGCTTACCAATATCTGCTGTCTTAAAGTTAAATTAATTTCTCATCAGCCTAATATAGCTCTTCTTCCAACGTCCCAAATGACTGCATTTTGATCCAAATCATTTCCTTTTCTATAATAAAATTTAGAATGCGGTTTTTCTTGGTTGATCTTCCTAGTTTGATACCGCTATTGGATTACTTTTCTTCAGCCATTATAGGCTTTCAGTAGGTCTCAGTTGTTCGTAGCTACGGAATGCACTTGAAATATAACCAGGGAAGTGATCCATTTGAATGCGAAGGGTAACGACCCCGCTCAAAAATCCTGAAGCACGCGCTTGAGATACATTTCAATCATTATCGTTGCTTACGAGTGAAACTTTCTTCCCTATGCCATTGCACCACAATTAAATTTTCAACGAAGTAATATCTTTTTCTGCTTTTGACTTCGAAGAAATGTTCTTCAAGAAATAATAATGACCAAAAAGAATCACCAAAATCAGGGAATTCTCTTCCTTTGTCATCGATTAGAATGAGTCTTTATATGCACACAGTGAAAACTCGTTAACTCGAACTTTTAGGGACCGGGCAAATTGTTTCAAGTTATCCGAAGTTCGAGTTATCAGGAGTCG